CCACTCTCTCAATCATTTATGTATTAGAAGTTAACAATGAGTCTAAAATAGCATTGTTTCTAGTTGGTTCCTTGACTATTTGGGGAAGAAAGCCATCCTGAACAGTTTACAAAAACCTTTCTCCCTCATGGTTTGACTCTAGCATTTCCCAATCTATATGCCTGAAATTAAAATCGCCCATAATTATGACTTCATTAACAGCTGAAATCTTAATCTCATTGTAAAGTTTCTCAATAATTTCATCAGTATCACTTGGTGATCTGTAACAAATTCCCACTAAAAGCCTTTTCCCTATATATTCACTAATAGAAACCCAAATGGACTCAATCTCTTTGCTATTATCTTTGATATTCTCAACTTCAACAAAATGTAACTCACATTTTACATATAAAGCCACTCTTCCTCCCTTCCTTAATACTCTATCCCTACTAAATAGCCTGTAACCTTATATTTCAAAGAAATTTCTGTCATCAAAATCATGTACATTTAACCATGTTTCTGTCATTCCCATGATATCAAAATCCACCATTCCTATCAGTGCTCTAAAGTCATCTATTTTATTTCTTATACTTCTAGCATTACAATAGTAACAATTAAGCCTATTCTTATAACTACTTCTGTACTTATTTTATATGCTTTTCTCTGCCTCTTATTCTTTTTGCATTTAGTTTTTCCTTGCCCTCACCACTGTCAAATCCTAGTTTAAAACTTCCCTTACAGCTGAGTTAATAGCCTTAGCAAACAAGCCAACCCCTATCCTATTTAAATGTAAACTATCTATTCCAAAAAACTCCCTTCTTCCACTGAACTGATACCACAAGTTCAACCAGCCAATCTGCTCATCCTTACATACTAACCAAAGCTTAGCATTTAGCCCTAGTGACCTACTTATAACTTTATTCCCACAGTTAATTCTGGGCAGTATCCCTGACAGAATTAAGTTATGACCTTCTACTTTAAATGCCTTTATCAACCCCCTGTACTTATTAATTAGCTTCTCTGACCTCCCTTTCCCTACATCATTAACCTCCATATGCACCATAAAAACTGCATCTCTGCTAGCCTCCTTTATTATATCTCCTGCTCTGTCAGTTATATCCTCCACCTGTGCCCCTGAGCAGCGTAATCTATTTCTTTTCTCCCTATTTAACCCACAGACTATTCTATCCACATGCCTTGTCAAGGAATCACCTATAACTATAACCACCTTATCATCCACATCCTTCTCTGAACCTTTTGTTTTCCTTCCTTCCTTCCAATAGTTCCACATCTGCAGAAGCCAAGGGCTGAAATTTGTTGCTCAACAGAATAGGATCATTATAACTAAATTCACCACTTTTAGCCCTAACAGTACTCTTTCTAACGTCCTTAAAGTCAATGTTAGCTGATGTATCCCCTGCATGTAAAAGCTTAAGTTCTTCCTGCAATCCTGCTGCCATTTCCCACAATCTACACTTCTCTTTATCTATTGCCTTTACTTTAATCATGATTGCCTCTAATTTTTCTTCCAACCTAAAAACTCTACATAAAAATTGCACATCTTCGTTATCAGCTTCCTTAAAAGTACATTCCGGTCTCGAGTTCCCAAATAAAACTCGCTTGTTGCACCCATTACACCTAACAAACTGTAAATGCTTAACTCCTACACTAGTCTTAACTATTGTGTTTATACTGTAGCCTGAAAATAAATACTCAATACCAAATATCAGTAGCCTATTGTTAACACTATTACTGTTAAGCCTAACGTTTAAGAACCAATTATATCATTAAAACTAACTTTAAACTAGTTTAGAACTACATCTTATTTTCAGTAGGTCACGTTGTATCAACATGTTTTCTGTACATGTTAATGTTTTAGTTCTTCTTTGAAAATGAAGAATTCTTTGTATTTATGAACTGCAGTTTTATATTTGTCCTCACTGTTTCCATGTTCAATTTAACGAAGTTCGCATAAGTAGCTAGTTTTTTTTAAACAAGCGATTGATAAATGTTTCATAATAAAAACAGTGCTTTATATATTAACTTAAAATTAATATAAAATTTGTAACAAAAAAAATTAGGGTTGCAGATGATTTGTTATTTTGTAAGACACTGCTTAAATTTAGACTAGTAAAGGTTAAAGTGATTACTTGGCAAACCATTTCATTTGCTTACCATTCTAAAATTGTTTTAATTCACTTTAAATTATTTGTTCAACATAAAGTGGGATTTGGAAAACATCTTGTTTAAATAGATTTATGCATGCAGATGATGTTACTTATAACTTAGTTTGTTTAATATGTTTTGTAATCTTTAAAAAATTAGTTTATTCTAGAAAAATAAAACTTTAATTAATTGACCTTCTTTGTGTTTTTTTGTAACTTCTTACTTCTCAATATGTAAAACATATTTTAAGATTATACAGTTCCTGGTAAAGTATATGAAACTTTTAACTATATGACTGAAAATAGTTAAATTTGGCAAAAGCACTGAATAGGCTGGATACCAAATGCTAGCTGAATATCTGTTACAACTCTAATTTGGAGTAGTTTTATTCCTTGTTTTCAGTTTTTGTTTTTTAACTCAAGATGGGATATTTAATTTTTCAGAACTCATCTTCTAAATGAATTACAACAAGAAATGTATGAAGATAAAGGTCCATAAGGGAATACTTCCATGCTCTTCCAGGAAGCAGTGGTATTATCAGAATAAGCAGTAAATATAAATGTGTAAGGTTATAAATGTGCAAAGTAACATTTTGAATTATCTTTAATTGATATTAGCTGTCAGATCACCTCTATAAATCATTTAAAAAAAGGTTTTTAGTAGATCACGTTTTTGAATTCAAACTGTAATGTTATAGTTATGTGAACTTTCAAGCTTTACATACTTGTAACATCTAAAGATAAACAATAAAAAAAAAATGCCTATGGCAGTAAAGGAGTTATGTTAAAAATACTATCTCATGGTAGCATATATTTTAATGTTGGAAGAAAATAAGAAAAAACAAAGTTGTCAAAAGTGGATACTTTTGATGGCAAGTACCATTGTGACAAAACCGTATTTCAACTTGTACTGTCAAATATTGATGTAGAAATACTGATTATTTCTTTATATGAAAAACAGTTTGCATTAGAGGACTTTGATGACACTCGTACCAATATATATAATGGTTAGTTTAATGATTATTTTGATGGATGTAAGACATGTTGATTTTCAATCTGAAATGTTTTTTTTTTAAAAAACATCAGAAATTTTACTTTTATTTTTAACAGAATCATTTTATATGTGTGTTGAGAGAATTGTACATTATTTGAATAAGTACTAGTTCCACTTATAATGATTTAACAAAATTAAATGACCAGTTTTGTGTTAGACCTATTCCCAGTCTTCTCTCGTTTTACTTACTTCCATACCACTAAATGGCTTTGATGGTTGCTGCTATCAGTACTTATAGATGACCATTTCCTAAAGTTTTAAGATTTTATTAGGCAGAAGTTCATTCACTATTTACTTTTATACAAGTATGCCAAAACATTCATCCTGAGCCAGTTTCTAACCAAGGCACATTGTCTGTTAAGAGTAAACTGTATAATGATTTGAGCTTTAATAGAAACATTTGTCTAGTTTACTTAAATGTAGTAGATCCTTTTGTAATACGTATTGAATAAAAGTATTAGAGTAAAAAAAAAAGTTATTGGTTTAAAGCTTCCTTTCTTCCCCCTTCAGTGTACACTAGCATTTCTTAGTGATAAAATAAAGCATGGCTAAGTTGTTCTAAACTTGATCTGCTTGTTTTATTGCAAGTGTAATAACTGTAATTAAAAATATCCTTTTTCTTCTTTTTGTTACTTAATACATAAGTTAAAAGTTTGTAGTTATAATCTAGAAATTAAAAAAAAATTCCTTTTATTTTTAAGCAAACCAACTAAGTGGTTTAAGCCAAGCTTCAAATTTATTCTTAAAAATGAAGGCATATTTTATGTTGATTCTGTTACGTTTGCCAGAGAGTTTGATTTACAAAATTTATAATGAAAGTGTTTGCAATCAGTGACGTGGCAAGGGGGTCAGTTGCCCCCAGGCGCAGGTGTGAAGGGGCGCAAAATTTCCTCTGGCCTATAATGCCTATTAATTAACAGTTAAGGCCCTCCCCTAAGATATAGCACAACTGCCCTATGTTAAGTAAATACGACACAGTGTTACGTTATTTGTGTGTATTACGCTTGCAGTTTTAACATTTAAATGCCACCCACTGAAATACAGTGAGATCGAATTGACGTACAGAAATAAATTACACTATTCCATCATTCATCTGTAGATCAAATACAAGTCCTAGAGTACAAGTAAGTGTATGTTCAACAAAAAAAAAAAATATGAGATTGATGT